TTTAATAAAAAAAATTATAAATCTATAAAAGCCCAAAACTGCCAAAATACAAAAATTTGTTTCATTTGTTTAAAAATAATTATTTTTACTTTCTATTATACATAAGGTCGGGTTATATTTTTTATTCTAAAATTATTTCTTCATAAAACTTAGAATATTTTTTATATTAGAAATATGAAAATATTCTTAAGAAAAATAAAATGTAATATTTATTATTAGTTGAATTTATTCTTTTTTAACTATTTGGCATTATATCTTTTTTATATCATGAAATATTTAACTGCACTAAATCAGGTCCTTTTATTTAAGAAAATTTATTAAACAAAATGCTGCTATAAAAGAAAAGGAATTGGGGAAATTGATAAAGGCTTATTGAATTATGTTCTTTATTGATTGCCATCACTGCTTTTTTCAGCTATCAATGTCATAAAATATTCTAGACACATCTAATTATTTATAGATGTTAATTATAAATAGGCAGGTAATTCAGAATTGTTGAATTATTCCCTATTTGATCTTCCATACAAAGAAATAATCTAACAGTTGTGAAAATAGTAATTAAAATAAAAATATTTCTGATGTGAAAATGGCATCAAACATTATATTTTTCATTTCTTCAAACATGTCATTTTGGGTTTCATAGTTTCTTTTTATAGCATTTTCACAAACATTCTCTACTATGGAGATGTGTATTTTGGTTCAGAATATGACGTTAATTTTAACAAATTTAAGAGGAATAATGTTTATAAATTTTTTCAACTTTATTTTGGGGGCAATGTTAATATTTTTACTTGAAAGTTGTTTGCTTGACATTCGTTTACATCTTTTTACTCTTACTTAATTTATCATTTAGTTCTTTAGAGTTTGGAAAATTTAAGGCTTTATAAATCAATTATTTTTGCTAATTCTTTTTTTAAAATTACATGTATGAAAGGATAAGTTTCATAAAGATGTGTAGGATTTGATATTTTGTTCAGATTACAAGCAAAATATTCACATGTATGCAAGATTTCACAAGTAAATTATTTTTCTTTTATATACTAAAGTATATAAAAGAAAATAATTTACTACTAATAATAAAGATTGATTATTTTTTAAATATTAATTTTACAGATGCTAATTTAATGTATTTGGAAAGTATCATTAACATTTCAAGATTTGTTCAGACAAACATGCTGTAAAGAAATTGTAGGTGGGGCACAATATTACTGCTCTCCCATGTATAAATTACTATTGTATATAAATGCCAATAAATGGTGTCATCTATATAGTTCACCGTATTAAAATGAATTGGCTTGTATTAGCTAACTTTTTATTTATTTTCTGTTTCTCTCTCGTTCTATAAAAAATATTCACTCTTCCCTAATTTAAAGAAGCATATTGTTGAATAGATTGTCCAAAATAATATGATAATTGATAAATAAAATGATAATTTGTCTAAATTTCTGGGATGCTGTTATGTAGATTATTTACACTCAGACTATTGTGCTCATCTTTGTTTTTATTATCACAATGTTTCTACCATTGTGCTCTCTGGCCTTCATCAGGTGTTTTTCAATCCAGGTAATCTTAGGGAATTTCAAACAGAAGCCATTATTTAATCTACAGGAATAAAACAAAACCCACTTACTTAACTTCAATCCATTCATCCATTCATCCAACATAAAGGGATTGTCCAATGCCTACAACACCATTATAAAAATCATAAATGGTGATCCAGATACAAACCAACAGAAACTGATCAGCATTGAGTGTACCCTTCAGAATAATAACTACCTTGCAACAATAAGGACAGAAGGTCAAGAAAGAGGACATAAAAACATCAAGGCTTTATTGAAAAAGATTCATATGTGATGCATACAACATCAGAACAATATTCAGAAGCAGCTCAACTTTACAGAGAATTCTCTGCTAAGTTGAGCCTAACACAAAGAAGAACATGACCAAGAACTGTTTGTATTCCATCCCTTGCAGATGTAGCATAGTTGAAACTAGCTGTACCCTAAAAGTAAGTCTGTAGGAACACTGAAAAACCATAAGAATGAAAGAAAAACAATGAAATCAAGAATGATGATCATGTATAGATGGAAAAAGTGTAGTCACTAACTCCCTGTAGAACAAAGTAAAAAATACCAGATGGAAAACACTGAAGAGTCGGATATCTGAAAGAATCAGTCTAGATACTAGACGATGATGACCTTCTTAGTAGGTCTAACATAGAAATAAATACAAGGGAATAATTGTTAATAAAGTTTTTAAAAAAAAGAGAGAAGCTTCAGTGAATGCAGTCAAGCATGACAGAGATTAAGACAAAAAGTTCTACACTCAGGATTGTCCTATGGTAACCTACTAATTTAAAGCCTTGGTTTGTGAATTCAATCCCAAGTCCAAGTAGAGCAGACTTAAATTTAGTAGAAACAGGACAAACAATGAGAGCAGTACTAAATAAGAATTAGACAAGATATCTCTAGACATTGTCAACAAAATAGGAAATTTAGATTAAATAATAGCTTCATTCTGTAAAGTTTACTTGGATCAACAAAATTTTGTTTTGTTTTTCATCTTCGTTTAGAAAATTTCTTTTCTTCCCAAATATGTTCACTTATAGAGTACCAAATACAAATTCAGGCATGTTTGAGTAGAAATAATTTTTTAATGACAAATTGATATTTATTGTGTTATGAAAGAAAGAAGAAACATAAAAAATAAGTAAACTTACTTACTTTTCTGCCATCAAGTTATTGCAGAAGAAAAAAATGAAACTAAAGATGGCAAGAAGGGGGAATTTATAAGTAAAAGGGGGAAGTGAGTTGCATTATGAGTGAATGGTTGGATGATTAAAGGGGTATGGGCAAAGAATCTCTGGTAGTATAATGGATATGTGACATGGGTGAAGAAGAAGAAAAGGAATGGCAGCAAGAAAATAGAAGAGTGCAAGTGGCTTTTTTTTATTATTATCATTATTTCATTTTCTTTTTTTATGAATCAAGCTAACAACCCAAACTTTACAACTCCAGAAAAAGAGAAAATTAGTGTGAAATGTTATATATATGTCTATTTCTTTTCATTCTTTTTTTTTTTTTTCCCCTGTTGTTCCTTTTCTCTTCTTCAAATTACTATTTTGGTATAAGGTAACATGCATGATTAAAAGAAAAGAGATAATCCAATTTTTCAGTTCCAGGGTCAGACCATTCAATAAGCAAGTGGGTGTAGTAGCATAGATTACAAAATCAAATTTGGTTGTTAGGCTGAGAGCCCTATAGATAAGAATGAACCCAGAGGAAACAAGTTGTACACTGTTACTAGGTTAAAGTTAAGGCTGGGTGAGAGAAGTTACAATGATGACAAAAAAGCCTATGTTATATGTAGTAAGGAAGATGACAGCTTGAGAGCATTGCCTGAAATGCATCATATGGGTGTAGAAAGGACACTATAAATCTCCAGTGTCTCCAAAGATACTACAAAAAGTAGTGAGAGAACATCAGTGGTGTTAGTCTATAGACTACTAGTGAAATTCAGATTAAGGGCAACTGGGAGAGTTTGACAGTTGATGTTACTCATTATCAGGACAGAATGTACTTGTCAGTGGTTTATTGTGGACTGGGAAGAGTGGCTGTTTTATGAGTAATGAAGATCAGTTCTACTGAATGAATTGTTTCTTGAGAAAGACCTGGCTGAAGTCCTAATGGATAACAAACTACATTGCATTTAGATAAGTGGTGATAGAAGTTCTGGCTATGTGAAATTAGGGCTGTATACAAATCTAACAAGAAAAGAATCCGAGAACTTTACCACAGGACAATCAAAGCAATGATTGAAACAGGGAGTATGTTGCCACTTGATATACTTTACTGGTATGTCTCTCATGGTAGGACAAGATGAGGAGTCATCACTACTTCAGATACGAGTAGAGGCATCCATTAGCTATCTCGGTAACTGATAAGGAGTCCAGATTGGAAAGGAAGCATGGGTAAAACCATCTAGGACTCGTATTTCACATTTGCTGGTGGTGGAGAGGATGATTGATGCATAATCACAGAATAATGTTTCAGTCGATGGGTTTCTTCAACATATTATAAATGTGGAGAGTGATCAGTCAATTGGAAGATGATAGGATGCCCAAAGTGGGCCTGTGCAAAGATAAGATGGGCATGACCACCACATTGGATGTTGACTACATTAAAGATGATCAATAAGGTTGGGAATGAGGTGAAGGAAGGTAGGGAGGAGGCATAAAAAAATGAATTTTGTAAACTTACCTTCTTTCCTATCAACATGTTATTGTGAAAGCAGAAACTGAAGACAGTGGGGGTCTACTAGATAAAAGGGAAAGTGGGTTGCATTATGGGAGAATAAAGGGGTATGAGGGAAAAAATATTTGGTGGTGTAATGGATTATATCATAAGTGAAGAAAAGGGGAGAGGAATGAAGCATGCTAAAAGCTTTTTTTTTTTTTTTTTTCACATCTCAAGAAAAAGTGAAATTTTTTTTTTTTTTTTCATACCCTCACTCTGTCATTCCTTTTCTTTCTTTCTTTTTATCCCTCTTTTTATTACTAAGGTCTGGTGGTTGACTTAAATTAGAAATGTACAAGTGAGTGTTGATAACTATTTTTTTCCCTTACCTTTTTTTCTCATTCAAATTGCTTTCTCTACATTTAGCTGTATATGGTGATTTTCTAAGCATAGCTTAGATGTGGCACAAGGCTGAAAGTAAAGGGCATCAATTGAGGATCAAATTCACTATTCAATCGTAATTGATCTAGCAAGACAAGCTTGTTAACCATTACACCATACCGAAGTACTCACATTTAGCTGTATATGTGGTATTATGAAAAATTATTTTTTTTATCCTATTTATAAAATGGATTTTTTTCTTTTGATCAAATTTTAAACATGACAATTATCATTAGGATTATAAATATTATGTAGTTATGAATGTATTAATGTACTGATAATCTTATGAAAGGGAGATAACTATTTTTATATCATTTTTCTCAGGTGCAGTTATTAAAAGCAAGTTCGAAAATGGATTCAATTATGAAACCTTTGTGAATAATATAAAAAAAGAGTTTCTTCACAATGAGGTAGGTCAAGAATTTTTATCTTAAATATTTTTTTAATTTACTGACTGTTAACTTTTATCGGAGAAAAAATTCCCAGAAAAAACATTATCTGAAAAATTGTTTGGTCATTTGATTAAATTTTGGAAAGTGTGTTGGGCAAAAAACTTTTCAGTAACCCTTTGTATTTCTCTCAGATAAATGAATCGAGCTAACATTTGAAAATGTTCTCCTTTTAAATATAAAAAAGTGATAATAAATTTTAATATTTTTATTACTATAAATATGATCCAGGGCTAATAAAGTATATACTGGAATAAGAAGTTATGAGTTTAAACAAATTAACAAGGGGCTAACATGGCATTATTTCTTAAATGACATTGTAAATTTATTTAAAAATAACTTATTTCACTCAAATGCTAGGAGTTTTATGCACAATGTTTAATCATGTTTACTAGCATGTCTTTTCAAAATCTTTGCAGACTGGAATTGAATTGGTGGTTTCAAGGATAGATACCTCAATTCAATTGACCCTCACGGATCCTGCAGGAGATACAAGTGGAATTGTGGCTATGAAAATTTTCAAAGATATTAATGATGGTAGGTTATTAATTTTTTGAAAAGCAAAACAATATTTCTTGAATTTCAAGAGAATTAAACTAGATCTTGTCATGTCAAACACATTTCATAGTCATACAAATAATTTTTACAAGTATTCTAATATTAGTAACTGATGAAATAAGTCAAAGGATTACTTCTAATTTTTTACTCATAGGTGCAAAGATACCAAGTGGAAATGAAAACGCTAAAAAAATTTTATTTTACATGAATATTTATTTTTATTGAATTGTTCTTAAATAACAAATTCAAATACTTATGCTAGCAATTAGATTTAATTTTTATTATTAATTTTCTGTTCAGTAATTGCTATATATAAAATTTTTCCATATTTTATACAAAACTTTACAGGCTTTCTTCCTAATAATGACATTTAAGCTAAAATTACTAATTTTAAAAAACTTATCAGCTTAGTGCATGTGTGCCTCAAATGTATATACAGAGCTTAGAAATACTCTTGCTAAAAAAAAACAAAAAAAAATTTCTTGAATTCGAAAATACTTTATTGAAATTTTGTTATATACATTAAAATTGGATTCTTGTATATCTTGCTTCTGATTTGCCAAATGCCGGATCCAATCAAATGTTGCATTTTATGATCACTCGTTGTTGTTCATCACAATTTGCTTGTCTGCATCTGAAATTTACTTCTGAAATATCATAAAACATTTTTTTTTTTTTTTTTTTTTTTAATTTTGACCAAATTTTCTAATTTCTAGGCCTTAATATATAATATTAATATTGGTTATTTCTTAGTAATAAAATTGCAATTTCATTAGTTTTAAAATAGAAAATATTGATTCAATGTCATGGGTGAATTGTGGCCATGTAGAATTAATGATTGAATTCATATGAATATAGAGACAAAGAAGAAAATTTTCAAGAAATATTTGGAAACTTATAAATCACAATGACATTGGGATGTTATTAATTACTTTTAAGCTTTAGGCTTCAGTTAATAAAATTTTTAATTTTGAAAAATCAATATAAGTTATGGCCACAATTACATTTTTGAATTGCAAATCTAACTTTATATAAAAATTTAATTCAAATGTGTTTTATGTACGATTTCGTTTCATCTGAAGACTTGCTAATATATGAAGTTTTCTAAATGCCAAGAAACAACAGTTGTGCATTCTTTAAATATATAAAAATCAAAAAAGGAAAAGTGAATTTAAATATTAGCAAATGGGCAGAAATATGATATGACCAAATACGAAGAAAAATAAATGTCTTCACTGCACTGGCTGCATACATAGGTATGGGGGCTTAGTGTAACCCATTGTGCTAGATGAACAGACAACCCTACAAGATGGTACATCTGCCCTTTGACAGGTTTTGTTTTTAATCCTGCTGGGTGTCTAGCCACCCTCCTCACCAGAAAAAGCCTAGTGGGGAATCAGTTTAGTCGCCGATGACCCGACCATGCAACAGGTAGTACTGGGTTACATGGTACCAGTAGCACTCATAGAGTGACCTGACAAATAGGTTTTTTAGAAAATATTGATTTGTTGTTGGGTTGATTTAATTGAAATTTATAGTTTGGGATATATACAAATACAGTGATAAAGACATATAAAGATAGAAGCTGTTTACCAGAATTTATGAAGAGAAAGACAGGTGACCAATACCTGCTTATATAGATTTATTATAGATATTAAAAGGTAAATGAAAACCATTGTTTAATATAATTTATAAGCTGGCAAATTAATATACTCAATTTACAGATATGAAGAAAAGAAATGCTAATGAAAATAAGCAGTTTACTATGATTTATGAAGAATGAAATAGATGAAAATATGTTTAGTCAGGATTTGCAAAGAGAAAAGCAGGTGATAATACCTGTTTATCCAGGTATTAAAAGATGGCAAAAGAAAAAGATGAAGATAATTTTTTAACCAGATTTTATAAGCTGTTTGATTAATATACATGAAGGAAGGAAATGCTGAGGAAAATAGGTTTATCTCAACTTATGGAGAGGAAGATTGGTGAAAATACCTGTTTAACCAAGATTTATGAAGGGACAGGTGGATTAAGATACCAGTTTATACAGGTATGAAGGAAAGAAAGGTGAAAATAACTGTTGAAGACAGACTGATTAAGATAGCAGTTATAAAAGAGGTAGTTGAAAATAGCCATATATCCAGGTGTATGTGTGTGTAAATATATATATATATACACATACACACACATACTTATATATGCATACCACATAAGTTGTTTAAAGTTTTTTTTCTGGTTTCTATATTATGGACAAAATTTCTTGTTTTACAGTAGATATTCAAATATAAATTGTCCCATGTTTGAGTACTTTATGCTATCACTGTCCATTATCAAAGACTTACTTTTTTTTGTACTATGCCAGTTTCCTTATTTTCAAATATTGTGTTTCTTATTCTTCATATGATGGTTTGTCATTGCTTTGTCTATATTTTATTTTACTATTTTGTGTTTCATTGTTTCAACCCCATGTAAAAAAAAAACAACACAAAACAAAGAACAGAACAAAAGGGATGTACAAAAAGAACAACAAAAAGGAAGAAATGAAAGTCATTGGAAATGGCAATGGTGAAAAAAAATATTTATATAATCAGCCAACTCTCATTTTCTTTCCTACCTTATCAGAGTTCAATTGAAGAGTTAAAATGATGTGCCAACTGGCTAAAAAATGAGTAGAGTAAAAAAGTGATATAAGAAATACAGAAACATCAATGACGTATTGACACTAGCATACTTATAAAGATATCACACTGTGACCGAACAACTATTCTTTTTCTTAGGTGTCTTGATTTGATGTAAGTTATCTAAAGAACATTTGAATGATGGTCAACACTGAGAACACACACACATCAATGGTAGAGAGAAATAATTATGAAGGCTAGGGAAAGTACCTGCTTATCCAGGTAAAAGAAGGTAGATAAAACAATTGTTTAATCAGGATTTATAAGCCAGCAGATTAATATACCTGATTTACAAATATAAAATTTATCCAGGTATTAAAAGAAGGCAGATAAGAAAAGAAAAACAATAGACAAAAATAATTGTTTAATCAGGTGTTATAAGCCAGTAAGTTAATATAGCTGTTTACCATGATTTATAAAGATGGTTGATGAAATAGCTGTAGAATCAGATTTTACAAAGAAACAGGCAGATTAAGAAACCAATTTATACAGGTATAAAGTAAAGAAAGGTGAAAATAGCTGTTTACAAAATGTATGAAAAAGGTAGGTGAAAACACCTGTTTAACCAGGATTTAGAAAGAGACAGGTAGATTAAAATAGCAATTTATACAGGTATAAAAGAAAGATGAAATCAACTGTTTGACCAGATTTAAAAAATTTAATTTATATGACTTCTTTAAGTCATATAGTGTTTCGTAGATGTGAAAGGAAAGAAAGCAGTTGAAAACAGTCATATCTCCATGGTGTGTGTGTATGTGTATATATGCACAAAGAAGAGTTCATGGTAAGAATTTTTTTTATATTGCAGATAATTTTCTTGCTTTCCAACACAAATTTAAGTAGAAATTGTCCAAGGTTTGATTACTCTAAGCTATCACAAGCAATTATCAAAGATATATTTAAAGGAAAGAAATACTAATGAAAATCGTTTTTTTATCATCATTTATGAAGAGAAAGGCAGATGAAAATACCTGTTTAAGTAGGTTTAAAAAAAAAAAGACAGAGTAGGTTAAGATAATCTGATTTGCAGACAAAAGAAAGAGTTGGAATAGCCATGTGTGTGTGTGTGTGTGTGTATATATATATATATATATATATATATATATATATGTGTGTGTGCATGAGCACACTAAACAAAAGTACTTTTAAAAAAATTTTTTCTATATTAATCATAATTTTCTTGGTTTCCAGTACATATTTAAATATAAATTATCAAATGACTGAATAACTTACCATTACAGCTGATTTTCTTTCTTCTTTTTTTTTTATTGCACTTTGTCAGTTTCTTCATTTTTCAAATGTTGGCTTGTTTATATTTCTTACTTTTTTTTTCTTTTTTCCCCCATTTTATTTCATTTTTTAATTTCTTTTTGTATTTTTTTTTTTTTTTTTTAAATAACTATTTTTGAACTTGCCAACAATGCTATGTTATTACTTTGATGGCGGTGTTAGTTTACCTCAATGTGCTAGATGGACGTTGAAACTACAAGATTCATCCGCCCTTTGACAGGTCTTGTTTTTAATCCTGCTGGGTGTCTAGCCACCCTCCTCACCAGAAAAAGCCTAGTGGGGGAATCAGTTTAGTCGCCGATGACCCGACCATGCGACAGGTAGTACTGGGTTACATGGTACCAGTAACACTCATAGAGTGACCTGACTTAAAGGATTTAAAAAAAATAATGAGAGTCTATAAAAGGGTTGTTTTATTTTGTTTCTTTTTAATTACATTTTTTATTTTAAATTTACTTTCTCTTTTTTTTTTAAAACTCTCCAGAATAGCCATTGACTTCCATCTAAGAAGCCACCTGTTCAGGATTGGCATTTCATCATTCCACTGGCTGCATACATAGGTATGGGGGCTTAGTGCAACCCATTGTGCTAGATGGGCAGACAACCCCTACAAGATGGTACTTATGCCCTTTGACAGGTCTTGTTTTTAATCCTGCTGGATGTCTAGCCACCCTCCTCACCAGAAAAAGCCTAGTGGGGGAATCAGTTTAGTCGCCGATGACCCGACCATGTGGCAGGTAGTACTGGGTTACATGGTACCAGTAGCACTCATAGAGTGACCTGACAAATAGTTTTTTTTTTTGTTTTTTTTTAAGAAAATGATGTTTTTTCATTAGATTCTTTTTTTAAATTTATTTTCCAAAAATTTTTCATTTGATTTTTTTTTTTTCCATATTTTTTCTTATTAAAATTTATTGTTTATGTGATTATATATATATATATATATATATATATATATATATATATATATATATATTCATTCTAAGCCTAGCTTAGATGTGGAAAATGAACAAAAGTATGGGGCAGCCAGTGAGGATTGAACTTACTGCTCAGTCATAAATGCTCTAACAAGACAAGCTTG